GATCCCCAATGCTGCGTCTCACCTGCTCATTCACTTCCAGGATCTCCATCTTCTTATTAACAGACTTGGTTATCTGAGCTTCGGACTGTGTCAGCATCTCCAGTAAGGGGAGCTATGGAAAGGAGAGGAGAAAGGATTAGCAATGGATCGCAGAAGACTTGTTATTAAAACTACACAGAATCTCTTTAATGCATTTGTACTTCCTACATAAGTTGCACCTGTTTATCTGCAGACTTTTATTCTCTACATCCATTCAAAGTGTAGAATTTATACAGCTTGTCTGAGCTTTCAGAAAGTAGGGGGTGGGGATCTGAAGGTACTCTCTGCAGTGTTCAGTGAGGAGAAATGATTGGAGAGAAGGGACACCCCTACCCTTCACACAGCTTACAGGAACAGAGCTGAGGCTGTCATTCACAGGCTGTGTGCTGGAGCTCCCTCCCCTGTTACCTTTTTATCTCTTGGAGTCAGTAAAACAGGGCAGAAGTGATTCAAAGCTGAGGAAGGAGGCAGCAGACGGAAATGACACTTAGGGGTTGATTTACTAAAGGCAAATAGATGGCGCCCTTTGCAAAGTGCAGTTGCTCCAGAGCTTAATAACTGAGCAGACGCTCTGCTGACTTCCATCCATCATCCAATCACAAGAAAGCATAAAGACTGTTTTTTTTTCTTCTGCATGTGATTGGATATTCTCTGCAAAGGGAAGCTTTACCTCATTTACTAAGCGCTGGAGCAGCTGCACTTTGCAAAGTGCACAGTCTATTTGCCTGTAGTAAATCAGCCCCTTAGTACCCTGGATTGAGACGAGTACACACTATAGAGGGATATGCTTTGTTTATATATCATGTCTGAGGTTAAATCGATTCTAAAAGGTTCATTTTTTTCCCCTGTAAAATAACAAACATGTCTGTACTTGGTACATGGTCCTTGCTCTACCTCAGAAGAAGTGCATGCGCACGAAACGCGTCAGGGGGAGCCTGTGGATTTGATCATTTTACAGCGCTGCATTTTTATATGTATATGTCTGTACTTACCTGCTGTATGCAGTGGTTTTGCACAGAGCAGCCCGGATCCTCCTCTTCTCAGGTCCCCCACAGCCTCTCCTTGCTCCTCCTGTCTGTCGGGTGCCCCCACAGCAAGCAGCTTGCTATAGAGGCACCTGCTGCTCCATGTGTTCACCCTCGGAGCCGCGGCTTGGCCCTGCCCTCTCCTCATTGGCTGACTGGCTATGATTGACAGCAGTGGGAGCCAATGGCTCCCTCCTGCTGTCTCAACCAATGAGGTGGCAGAGAAACGGGACAGCCGAGGCTGTCATTCACATCACTGGATCTTGATGGGGCTCAGGTAGGTATTGAAAGGTCGAGGGGTGGGGGGGGGGGGGGGCGGGGCATTGCTGCACACGGAAAGTAAAAAAAACCTTCAGCCTTTACAACCACTTTAACAATCCAGGTAAAGTCTGCAGATGAGACGTTTGCCTTCGATGTGAATGCAGATACTTCTCTACCTTGTCTGACATGCCCCCCACCGAGCCACAGCCTAGAGATGGGCGACCGGCAAGCTTCATGATCGCTGCGGATTGGGGAGGGGTTGGCAGATTGCTGCTAGGGGCATGAGCTGTGATAGATTTATCAATAATAATGGTTTTATTTTACCCTCAATGTATCGATTTACCGATAAACTGTATCTATCCCCCAACATTGAACTTCTGGTATTTGCCATCTTTTAGTCTGTTACATATACCATTGAAAGGGTGTTAAAATGGTTCATATAAAGAGAAAAAAAGATACACGTTAGAAATTCAGGGCTGTGTCCTCTGCACACTTCCTTTGTTCAGTCAGTGTTATCATCCCTCCTCCAGACTGGAGTCCAACCAGCCCCCCTTGTTCTCATCATGGGACTACAAATGATTAGGGACTACGCTGTGGTGATGGAAGAGTTTGAGTTGGCATTGCCTATATCTGTTCTCCCCGGATCTTGCATTGCCTATATCCGGTCTCTCCAGACCCTTGCATTCACTATATCCGCTCTCCCCGGACCCCGCATTCACTATATCCGCTCTCCCCGGACCCCGCATTCACTTTATCCGCTCTCCCGGACCCCGCATTCACTTTATCCGCTCTCCCCGGACCCGCATTCACTTTATCCGCTCTCCCCGGACCCCGCATTCACTTTATCCGCTCTCCCCGGACCCCGCATTCACTTTATCCGCTCTCCCCGGACCCCGCATTCACTTTATCCGCTCTCCCCGGACCCCGCATTCACTTTATCCGCTCTCCCCGGACCCCGCATTCACTTTATCCGCTCTCCCCGGACCCCGCATTCACTTTATCCGCTCTCCCCGGACCCCGCATTCACTTTATCCGCTCTCCCCCCTAGGACCCCGCATTCACTATATCCGCTCTCCCCGGACCCCGCATTCACTATATCCGCTCTCCCCGGACCCCGCATTCACTATATCCGCTCTCCCCGGACCCCGCATTCACTATATCCGCTCTCCCCGGACCCCGCATTCACTATATCCGCTCTCCCCGGACCCCGCATTCACTATATCCGCTCTCCCGGACCCCGCATTCACTATATCCGCTCTCCCGGACCCCGCATTCACTATATCCGCTCTCCCCGGACCCCGCATTCGCACTATATCCGCTCTCCCCGGACCCCGCATTCACTATATCCGCTCTCCCCGGACCCCGCATTCACTATATCCGCTCTCCCCGGACCCCGCATTCACTATATCCGCTCTCCCCGGACCCCGCATTCACTATATCCGCTCTCCCCGGACCCCGCATTCACTATATCCGCTCTCCCCGGACCCCGCATTCACTATATCCGCTCTCCCCGGACCCCGCATTCACTATATCCGCTCTCCCCGGACCCCGCAGTCACTATATCCGCTCTCCCCGGACCCCGCAGTCACTATATCCGCTCTCCCCGGACCCCGCATTCACTATATCCGCTCTCCCCGGACCCCGCATTCACTATATCCGCTCTCCCCGGACCCCGCATTCACTATATCCGATCTCCCCGGACGCCGCATTCACTATATCCGCTCTCCCCGGACCCCGCATTCACTATATCCGCTCTCCCCGGACCCCGCATTCACTATATCCGCTCTCCTCGGACCCCGCATTCACTATATCCGCTCTCCCCGGACCCCGCATTCACTATATCCGCTCTCCCCGGACCCTGCATTCACTATATACGCTCTCCCCGGACCCCGCATTCACTATATCCAGTCTCCCCGGATCCCGCATTCACTATATCCAGTCTCCCCGGACCCGCATTCACTATATCCGCTCTCCCCGGACCCTGCATTCATTATATCCGCTCTCCCCGGACCTTGCATTCACTATTCCGCTCTCCCGGACCCTGCATTCACTATATCCGCTCTCCCCGGACCCTGCATTCACTATATCCGCTCTCCCCGGACCCTGCATTCACTATATCCGCTTCCCCGGACCCCGCATTCACTATATCCAGTCTCCCCGCAGCTCTGTACTACCAGCAGATGGATTTGGGACAGTAGAAGAACGGGAGGATCAGAGAAGACAGGATCAAACAGCATTTTTACACAATGCAGATTAACCCCTTAGGTCCCACAGTGAGTATAACAAGCATAGCTTTACTGCATATACAGACTGATTGTACTGTTGTGGGTTTAGGAGCACTTTAAGAGCGGTGTGCATTTATGGCCGTACTTTCAGGGTCTTTATAGGAATAAACCCACATGGAAGAAAAATATATTTGAAATATATTTTAAAAATATTCTTCCCAAATATATTGACATGTATTTGAAATGCTACAATTTTGGCCATATTCAGTATATTTCAACACACACTGCATGTTGAAATGCGTTATTACGAAATACGTGAAAAAATATTTATAAAAATACATTTAAAATATACTGAACGTCTTTAAAAAAAACAAATCTACATTTTTGGAATGCCTTTAAACAAAAAAATATATCTAAAAATATATGTTAAAATTACACACACACACACACACTAAAAAAAAAAAGCTGAAGAATAGATTTTAAAAAAATATAATTTTTAAAAATATATATATTTTAAAATATATTCTTCAGCTTTTTTTTAACATAAAAAAAAATAATTTTACTTTTTAATTTGAACATATTTTTTATATTTGTAAATGAATTCCAAAAATGCAAAGTAAAATAACTTTTTTTTTTCTATATGTTAAAAAAAAAAAAACTGAAGAATATATTTAAAAAAAATATAATTTTTTAAAATATATATTTTTAAATATATTCTGCAGCTTCTTTTTAACATATAAAAAAGTCATTTTTACACATTTTACACATTTGAAAAATGCATTCCAAAAATATATATTTGTATTTTTTTTAAGACACACAGTATATTTTGAAATGTATTTTTAAAAATATTTTTCATATATTTTGTAATAAAAACGCATTTCAACATACAATATAATATATATATATATATATATATATATATTATATATATACACATATATATATATATATATATATATATATATATACACATATATATATATATATATATATATATATACACACATATATACATATATACATACATACATACATATATATATATATATATATATACACATACACACACACACACTCACTTACACTTTTTTTATTGAAATATATTGAATATCACCATAATTGTAGCATTTCAAAACCATATGCCAATTTATTTGGGAAAAAATATTTTTAAAATATATTTCAAATATATTTTTCTTCCATGTGTGAAATCCGGGGAATCGTGCGTGTATATGTGTATTAGGGGTGTACTTCATATCTGTCCTCCAAATTTCAAATCTCATTACTGATTAGGAAGACTGACCCTCACAGCAATGAGCTGGTAATGAAAGTCGGATCCGTTCCTGCTCTCAAATACCTGGAGTTTCAGGATCTTAGGATTTCAAGAACACTTCTTGCCTCAAGGGATCCAACATCCAACCAATGCAACAGAGAATACAATGAAGCATACACATTATTGGGCGTGGGTGGCCCGCCCCGGGATCCTTACATTGATCTGGTTTCGGCAGTGGTGCAGGCTCTCCTCGCTGTCCAGGTTACATTCGATCTGGAGATCATAACCATTGGCATTTTCTGCGGTGGAGGGAATCAAGCGTAATTTTCGCGCCAACTTGTGAAACTCTGCAATCTCTGTTTCCACCTGAAAAACAAAAATACATGGAGTCAGCATAATGAAAATTTACCAAACATGGCTTATACATCTCAGGTTCAATCTATAAAAAGTGGAAGAACTCCCCATTATAGTAATATTTTCCAGGTTCTCCGCTCCTGTCCAGTACAATTGGATGTTCTGGGGCTAGAAGTGTCATTGAAAAGTCCACCTCGCTCTCCTGTCCACTACAATTGGATGTTCTGGGGCTAGAAGTGTCATTAAAAAGTCCACCTCGTTCTCCTGTCCACTACAATTGGATGTTCTGGGGCTAGAAGTGTCATTGAAAAGTCCACCTCGTTCTCCTGTCCAGTACAATTGGATGTTCTGGGGCTAGAAGTGTCATTGAAAAGTCCACCTCATTCCCCTGTCCACTACAATTGGATATTCTGGGGCTAGAAGTGTCATTAGAAAGTCCACCTCGTTCCCCTGTCCAGTACAATTGGATATTCTGGGGCTAGAAGTGTCATTAGAAAGTCCACCTCGTTCCCCTGTCCAGTACAATTGGATGTTCTGGGGATAGAAGTGTCATTAGAAAGACCACCTCGTTCTCCTGTCCAATACAATTGGATGTTCTGGGGCTTGAAGTGTCATTAGAAAGTCCACCTCGTTCCCCTGTCCAACAAATGGATGTTCTGGGGATAGAAGTGTCATTAGAAAGTCCACCTCGTTCTCCTGTCCAGTACAATTGGATGTTCTGGGGCTAGAAGTGTCATTGAAAAGTCCACTCGTTCTCCTGTCCAGTACAATTGGATGTTCTGGGGCTAGAAGGGTCATTAAAAGTCCACCTCATTCTCCTGTCCAGTACAATTGGATGTTCTGGGGCTAGAAGTGTCATTAAAAAGTCCACCTCGTTCCCCTGTCCAGTACAATTGGATGTCCTGGGGCTAGAAGTGTCATTGAAAAAGTCCACCTCGTTCTCCCTGTCCAGTACAATTGGATGTTCTGGGGATAGAAGTGTCATTAGAAAGTCCACCTCTTTCTCCTGTCCAGTACAATTGGATGTTCTGGGGCTAGAAGGGTCATTAGAAAGTCCACCTCGTTCCCCTGTCCTGACAAAAATGGATGTTCTGGGGATAGAAGTGTCATTAGAAAAAGTCCACCTCGTTCTCCTGTCCAGTACAATTGGATGTTCTGGGGCTAGAAGTGTCAGACTCAGCAAGCACATGCTCCCAAGCTGGGCTGTGTGCATCCATAGACATACAGCACCAGTAAGCCACACCCCCCACTCTCACAGGCAGGACGGCAGGAGGAGACTATGGTGTCTCCTGTGAGACCAGGAAGTGGGAGGAGCTCTGCTGCAGCTGAGATAGCACTAGAGTAACGAGAGGAGCCTGGTAGTGTGTATAATGGTACAGAGGATGTTTGAACAATTGGAGGGGTGTTTTTCTTTTTTTTTTTTACCTGAACCCCTCGCCCTCCTGAGGATTTCCCACCCTTCCTGACCAGGCCATTTTTTGTGATACGGCGCTGTGTTACAGTAACTGACAATTGCGCGGTGCGGTCGTGCAATGCTGCACCCAAATGAAATTTACGTCCTTTTTTTCCCCACAAATAGAGCTTTCTTTTGGTGGTATTTGATCACCTGTGAGAAAAAAAAATAAATATTTTTGACTTTTTGCTATTAAATATATCCAATAAAAGTTTAAAAAAAAAAAACTAATTTTGTCATACATATAAGCCAAAATGTATTCCGCTCCGTATCTTTGCTAAAAAAAAAAAAAAAAAAATCCCAATACGTGTAAATTAATTGGTTTACGTGAAAGTTATAGCTTTTTTTGTGGGGAAAAATAGGATGTAAATTTCACGTAAACCAATTCATTTTTTTTTTTTTTTTTTTTTTTTAGCAAAGATACGGAGCAGAATACATTTTGGCTTAAATTTATGACTAAATTTGACTTAAAAAGTTTTTCTTTACTGGACTTTTTTTTCTTTTCTTTTTTGTTTTATAGCAAAACAATATTTTTTTTTTTTTTCAAAATTGTTTGTCTTTTTTTGTTTATAGAACAAAAAATAAAAACCGCAGAGGTGATCAAATACCACCAAAATACACAGTTGCAAGAAAAAGTATGTGAACCCCTTGGGATTACGTGGAGTTTTGCATGAATTGGGCATAAAATGTGTTCTGAACGTCATCTAAGTCACAACAATAGAAGAACACAGTCTGCTGAACATAATACTACACAAACATTAGATGTTGCCATGGTTTAATTGCACATAACATGTAAACATTCACAGTGCAGGGAGGAAAAAGTATGTGAGGCCCTAGCTTAATGACTTCTCCCAGAGCTAATTGGAGCCAGGAGTGAGCCAACCTTGACTCCAATCAGTGTGATGATATTGGATGTGTTGCTGACACCTGTTTTGGGTTTACTGGTTTCAAGAAGCACTGTCTGATGTGAACCATGCCTCGCAGAAAAGAGCTCTCAGAAGACCTACCATCAAGAATTGTTGACTTGCATGAAGCTGGAAAGGGTTACAAAAGTATCTCCTTGAGCCTTGATGTTCATGTGTCCACGGTAAGACAGACTGTCTACAAATGGAGAAAGTTTAGCACTGTTGCTACTCTCCCTAGGCGTGGTCGTCCTGTAAAAATGACTGCAAGAGCACAGCGCAGAATGCTGCATGAGGTAAAGAAGAATCCCAGAGTGTCAGCTAAAGACCTACAGAAATCTCTGGCACATGCTAACATTTTTGTTGACACATCTACAATAAGGAAAACATTAAACAAGAATGGAGTACATGGGAGGACAGCACGGAGGAAGCCATTGCTGTCCAAAAAGAAGATTGCAGCACGTTTGAAGTTTGCAAAAGAGCACCTGGATGTTCCACAGCACTACTGGCAAAATATACTGTGGACAGATGAAACCAAGATGGAGTTGTTTGGGAAGAACACACAACACTATGTGTGGAGAAAAAAAAAGGCACAGCACACCAACATCAAAACCTCATCCCCACTGTGAAACATGGTGGAGCGAGCATCATGGTTTGGGGCTGCTTTGCTGCCTCAGGGCCTGGATGGATTGTTGTCATTGATGGGAAAATGAATTCCAGAGTTTATCAAGACATTTTGCAGGAAAACGTACGACCATCTGTCCGCCAACTGAAGCTCCGCAGAGGATGGGTGATGCAACAGGACAATGACCCAAAGCATACAAGTAATTCAACAAAACAATGGCTGCAACAGCACAGAATACGCCTTCTGGAGTGGCCCAGTCAGAGTCCTGACCTCAACCCCATTGAAATGCTGTGGCATGACCTTAAGAGAGCGATTCACACCAGACATCCCAAGAATATTGCTACACTGAAACAGTTTTGTGAAGAGGAGTGGTCCAAAATGACTCCAGATCGTTGTGCAGGTCTGATCTGCAACTACAGGAAACGTTTGGTTGAGGTTATTGCTGCCAAAGGAGGGTCAACCAGTTATTAAGTCCAAAGGTTCACATACTTTTTCCTCCCTGCACTGTGAATGTTTACATGTTATGTGCAATTAAACCATGGCAACATCTAATGTTTGTGTAGTATTTATGTTCAGCAGACGTGTTCTTCTATTGTTGTGACTTAGATGACGTTCAGAGCACATTTTATGCCCAATTCATGCAAAACTCCACGTAATCCCAAGGGGGTCACATACTTTTCTTGCAACTGTAAATCTCTATTTGTGGGGAAAAAAAATACGTAAATTTCATGTAGAGATTTATTTCAGTGATAATTACACGCGATTTTGCGCAGCCCTGCCACCCTTTAGCGGTAGTTCTGCTATAGGGTGGTAGGGAAGCGGTCAATGCACAGAATGCATTCAGGTGAAAACATTTGGACCTCAGAACCACTTTCAGTGTGAAATCTGCCCAGCAGCGCACTGCTAATGTGAGGGTGTCGTGAAAGATGATCGTTTTATTACCGATTCTTTGATCTTGGCGTATTTGAGCTCTTCGCTCCACAGAAGCTGCTTCTCATCATCCAGCTCCTTGGTCAGCTTGGTGAGGGTCTCCTTCAGCTCGTTCTCCTCGTATTTAATCCTCTCAATGTCGGCTACGGAGTATTTCTGGTGGTCCAAGACGTTCTTCAGTCTCAGGTTCTCCTGCTTCACCGCTTCAAACTCCAGCTCTGGAGGGAAAAGAAGAGGAGACCAATATCGGATATATAAAATTTTCATTAGCCAGAACAGAAAATTCCCCCAACAGGGACATCTACAGCAAAAAAAAAAACAACAAAAAAAAAAAAAAACTCGTAAAGGGAAAAGGGTTAGACCCTTGTTCAGGTTTTCATTGCTAAAAATACAAAAATTGATAAGGAAAGTAGGAAAGTTAGAGTGCAGCATCACTGGTGAGACTCTCAGTAAAAACAGGCTTCCCCTTCAGCGCAGAAAAGCTATATTAACTCAAATAAAAACTGCGCGCTAAGTAAAAAAAAAAAACCGCTACGAGAAAAATACATATATAATATGCAAATAATATGTATCCAATGAAAAATGAACAAAATAGTACTCAAGAGTGAACCATTACCACAAAACAAATAAAAAACATAAATGAAAACTAAATATATAAAATATATATATATATATATATATATATATATATATATATATAGTGTGTGTAGAACAATCCCCTTGTCTTTTTTTTTTCTGTACTAGAAAAAAAAAAAAAAAAAAGATAAGTTTAGTTTATTGAATTTTTCTAGTACAGAAAAAAATATAAAAAAAAATAAAAAAAAAACCAACAACAGGGACACCTACAGCAAGAAGAAAAAAAAAAAAAAAAAAAAAAAAAAAAAAGAATAGAAAAAATAAAAAACTCGTAAAGGGAAAAGGGTTACACCCCCTGTCAGGTGTTTATTTATAAATATACAAAAAGGTGTTAGATTTGGCTTTTTCAGTAAAAAAGTTACAGAGTGCAGCATCTCTGGTGAGGCTCTCCGTAAAAACAGGTTACCCCTTCGGCGCAGGCATGCTGTATTAACTCAAATAAAAAAACTTGTGCTGCGCTAAGTAAAGAAAACGCTACAAGAAAATACATATATAATATGCAAATAATATGTATCCAAAGAAAAATGAACAAAATAGTGCTCAAGAGTGAACCATTACCACAAAATAAATAACTTAACCCCTTGACACCAACGTCACAAATATGCGGCCTCACAGAACTGGGCTTTTTTTTATCCGTGGGGGGGCGCATATTTGCGTACCTGTCTTTATGCTGGGAGCGCGCCGTCACTGAGAGCCCCGGATCCCAATCTAATGATCGGGACCCGGGACTCCTGATTCCAGATCACATGATCGCTGTGATAGCCTGACTGACTATCACAGTGATCAGTCATTGTACAGCCCGGACCCCTTGTTTTTTTTTTGTTTTTTTTTCCTCTATGAATGGAGGAGATACATGTATCTCTCTAACTCGTGGCATAGAGAAAAAAAAAAAATTTGTAAAAAAAATAAATAAAAACACAACACAAAAAAACCCCCCCACTAAATAAATATTAAAAAATAAAATAAAAAATAAAGAAAAATACCTAGATCAAGGTTTGATCTAGCACAGTGCCAGGGTTAGTGTTTAGGTCAAAGGTCAGGATTTAAAAAAAATTTGGTGTCAGTGTGTTTTAGGTAAAAAAAAACAAAACAAAATGCGCACTATTGTTTCTGGGCCGTACTCCGGGTACAAACAACAAATAACACCCACATATATGGTATCGCTGCAATCGTCAAGAGCTGAAAAATGTATTTTGGGTTGTTCTTTGGTGGTAGGTTATGGTAGTAACAAGAAACACAGCTGAAATAAAAAAAAAAAATTCTTTTTTTTTTTTACTATTTTGGGCCAGTTTTCCTTTAAAAAAAAAAAAAAAAAAAAATCAGGAGATATCCATTACCATTTACCACCAAATGAAAGCCCTATTTGTCCTGAAAAAAACGCGGCATGATCCACCCGGATGTACAAAGTAGTTTTTTTTTATTTAAATATTTATTGATTTTCCAATTTAAATACATATCATCATCACATTATATAAAAAAAATAACATCATTCTTTATTTACCGTTTCAAAAAAATATTTCTCTCTCTCTAAAGTAGTTGTGATGATAGGTACGGTTTTAACTAACACAGGTCACAGTTGCAAAATTGTGCTTAGGCGTTAACATTTGTTTTACCCTTAGGCAGGAAGGGGTTAAAGACCGGGACTGATGTGGACAAAAGTTATGTAAAGCTGTGTGAAAATTGTTAGTCCCATATGAATCCTGTAATAAGTAGACAAACACTACAGATTCATATAAAATACCAGCATATGCACAAAAACCAAATGAAAAAGGAAAAAAAAAAAAAAAAAAAAAAGAAGGTGGAAGTCACATGACTTCAGCTAAACATTACAAAAATGAGAGGTAGAATCAGTGAAAAGTGCAATAAGATGCCGAAAAGCAAGAACACCACTCAAGCTGCCCCATACATGGATGAAAGTTTGGCCAGTTTAGCAGAGACCGGCCAAAGTTCGATCCGTCTATGGCTGTTGGATCGAATGATTGACTTCTGTCACTGCGGCTGCTGGAAAACTTTTGCTGCTCGGCGGCTTGCAGTGTTATCAGTCGGGGATTTCTCCATCCATCTCACATGTGTAGATGGAGGAATCCACTTTTCTTTTTTTTTTGATCAGCCGATGGGCAAATAATGAGCCGTCGTCTACGCAGTTCCCGGGAGCCGGGCAGGTCGTTTTTTTTTTCTACCTTTAGCCCTGCTGCGGACAAGCAGTGGGTTCACCTGCCAGATGGAAGCTTTCGGGCGGCAGCTTTCACACAGTGCCAGCCTCTCCCCCCCCCCCCCATCATCATGAGGTCTCCTGGGCTCCGCTTGCCCATCCGCGGGTCCAGGACTGTTTTACCATCGTCGTCAACTAGAGGGGAGGGAGGATAGCGGACACGTCCACTCCCTCCCCTCCCCTTCTTGTCCTGACCCAGAAGGGACATTATGATGTCACTTCCGGGTCCCCGTTGAGAGATTCCCAACCATGGAAGCCAGGAAAGAATGTAATGCATTACATTCAGTGGAGCACAGGGGAGACATTGGGGTCTTTTGGACGTTGGATGTCTTAATAAAGAGAACATGTCACGTTGTCCCCTATGTGATTAAAAAAAAAAAAAAAAAAAGGGGGGAAAAAAAGGAAAAAAAAAAAAAAAGGGAAAAAAAAAAAAAAAGAAAAAAGGGAAAAAAAAAAAAGGAAAAAAAAAAAAGGGGAAAAAAGGAAAAAAATTAAAAAAAAAAGAAAAAAGGAAAAAAAAAAATAGGTAAAAAGAAAAAAGTAATAAGAAAGGAAAAAAAAAAAAAAAAAAGGAAAAAGAAAAAAAAAAAAAAAAAAAAGTAATAAAAAAGGAAAAAAAAAAAAAAAAAGAAGAAAATAAAAAAAAAAAAAAAGAAAAGTAATAAGAAAAAAAAAAGGAAAAAAAAAAAAAAAAAAAAAGGAAAAAAGAAAAAAAAAAGGTAAAAAGAAGAAAAGTAAAAAGAAAGGAAAAAGGAAAAAAAAAAAGGAAAAAAAAAAAAAAAAAAAAGAAAAAATAGGAAAAAAAAAAAGGAAAAAAAAAAAAAGGAAAAAAAGGTAAAAAGAAGAAAAGAAAAAGAAAGGAAAAAAGAAAAAAAAAAAAAAAAGGAAAAAAAAGGAAAAAGGAAAAAAAGGAAAAAGAAAAAAAGGAAAAAGAAAGGAAAAAAAAAAAAAAAAAAGGGAAAATCTTTTTTTTTAAGGTAAAAAATGAAAGTTATAACTAAGCACATAACATCCCCCCACCCAAAAAAAACAAACAAAAAGGAAGAAGAGGCCCCCACCCCCACATACAAAAACGTAAAAGCACACGCTGAGGCGCTGCGCATGAGAACGACAAATGCGATACATGTTACATATCGCCACACACACCACAATGTGAACAATAATTCCAGCACCAGACTCCTCCGTACAATATACTGGTGACCTATAAGGGGCATTAAACGTGTCACCTATAGAAAATATAGGTACTGAATTTTGTCGCCATTTCACTAGCGAAAACAAAATTTAAGGTTTGACAAGTTGGATATTTATTTACTCGCTGCAACTTCATCTTTTGAATTTTAAAAAAAATAGGGTAATTTATTGCTTTTTTGTGCCCTAAAAATGAACCCACTTGTATTTTTGGGGTAATATGCAACATAAAAAATTGGAACTACCACTATTTTATTCTCTAGGGTCTCTGCTTTCAGAAAATATATCATGTTTGGGGGGTTTTGTGTAATCTTCATACCTAAAATTTTTTTAAAAACGTGTGCAAAAAACGCAAAAACGCCTCTGGCAGCGAAAGGGATAAAGGATAAGCCGGACACTCCCCTTTCCTGAGGAGCAGCCAATCGGCGCTCATTACACTGCAAGGTCTCTCTACTCCCTGCTAGTCCCCGGGGCGGGGCTGGAGACAGGCGGGAGGGGAGGAGGAGATATACAGCGCAATGGTAAAAATATTACACGTTTTTTTAAGTCGCCATAAAGCTCCTTTTGTTTTTAAAAGCCGCGACATTCCTGAAATCACCTCCAAATTAAATACAGTTTTGGTAAAGTTTTTTTTTTTTTTTTTTATCTGACAAGTAGATGGGGGCCCCGATTTAGTCCCTGGACAAGTCATTTTTTTTCAAAAATTTACACACCCTTCCTATGACCAGCCTCCTCTCACTCACACAGAACTGATTGGACATTGTGTTCCTCGGGCAGAATTCGACGCCTGACCTCACCTACAGCCTCCAGCTCCTCGCTGATGCTGCCGACACGCTGGTCCATCAATGCAGAATGAGACTCAATCTCCGTCAGGTAATTCTGATATTTCTGGATGTCAGTCTGCAGAGAGGCCTTCAGTTTCCTCATGGAGGCCAAACGGTCCTGAAACAGCAAAACAAATCAGATCAATACTGATCAAACCCCCCCGGTATCTTGGTGCGACTTACCTAGGGGGGCCCCACTTCCAACTACCATCCCATGTATGGATACTCTCGGAAAGATAGAAAGATACACCTTATGCATAACCACACCATCTATTATACAAAGTTGGATTTGCATTAAAGTCAGTCCAACCCCATAACAAAAAAAAAAAAAAAAAAAAAAAAAAACACAACAAACAAAAAAAAAAAACCACAAAAACAACAAAACACAACACAAAACAAAAAACCCCCCAAAAAAAACAAAAAAAAAAAAAAACCCCGAAAGAAACACACACAAAAAAACCCCCACAAAAAAAAAAACACAAAAAAAAAACAAAACACAAAACAAAAACAAAAAAAAAACCACTAAACAAAAAAACACCAAAAAAAAACAAAAAAAAAAAAAAACAAACACAAAGCAAAAAAAAAAAAAAAAAACACAAAAAAAAAAAACAAAAAACAAACTACACACAAAACCCCAAAAAAAAAAAACAAAAAAAAAAAAAAAAACACCAAAAAAACCCCCCACAAAACACAAACAAAAACCCACAAAAAAAAAACACAACACACAAAAAAAAAAAAACAAACAAAATACAAAAGAAACACAAAAAAAAACCCACAAAAAGAAACCCACAAAAAAAAAAAAAACACACACACAAAACAAAAACACAACCCCCCCCCCAAAAAAACCAAGCTAAATAACAGCCAAAAGAAACACAAAAAAAAAAACCCACAAAAAAATCCAAAAAAACCACAAAAAAAAAAATACTCTAACCCGTCCCAAAAAAAAAAGCTGGCCCTACCCGTCCCCAGGAAGCTACAGAAAAGTCCAGGAGAGGAGGAGCTAGGCCAGCACAGAGAGTAATTAGACACTCCCATAAGAGGAGAGGGCTGTGAAGTGCCAGGCCAAGCTGCAAGGAGTGAGAGGCTGGGAAGTTCCAAGGCACAAAGCAAGCGATTAAAAAAACAATTTTGGGGAAAAAAAAACAATGGATTTTCCTGTGCTTTTCCATGCAAGCTGTTCTAGCCCGATTGCAGGAAGGATCTAATAAAAGGTGAAGAACCTGGAGAACCCAGCTGTGCAAGAGGGACACCTTGTTCCTGTGTGTAGGCCCTCAGATGGAGAAACCAAAGGCTACTGCGAGATACAAGGAATCTACTGCCAAGCAGGCCAAGCTGGCCCTCAAGCCCGTCCCATCCAGGCCAAGCTGGCCCTCCGCCCGTCCCATCCAGGCCAAGCTGGCCCTCCGCCCGTCCCATCCAGGCCAAGCTGGCCCTCCGCCCGTCCCATCCAGGCCAAGCTGGCCCTCAGCCCGTCCCATCCAGGCCAAGCTGGCCCTCCGCCCGTCCCATCCAGGCCAAGCTGGCCCTCCGCCCGTCCCATCCAGGCCAAGCTGGCCCTCCGCCCGTCCCATCCAGGCCAAGCTGGCCCTCCGCCCGTCCCATCCAGGCCAAGCTGGCCCTCCGCCCGTCCCATCCAGGCCAAGCTGGCCCTCCGCCCGTCCCATCCAGGCCAAGCTGGCCCTCCGCCCGTCCCATCCAGGCCAAGCTGGCCCTCAGCCCGTCCATCCGAAGGTATGGGACTGTACCCAGAAGAGACACTTACCGGCTCTCGCTCCTTTTCTTTCTCCAGCTTCTCAATTTCCTCCGCCAACCTCCGAGCCTCCGTCTGCAGGGACTCAAGGTGAGGCTCGTCCACAGCATACAGGTTCTCTGAAGAAAATACAGCTGCCAGTTAGAAGCCAGCATGCGCAGTTCACAAATCCAATATGGAGGGATATCCGCTAGCGGACAGACTGAGGTCAGGATGCAAGGACCGCGTGTGAACCACACTTACTAAGTTTGGCGTACACCTCCGCGTCCGCTTCCTCATAGGTGTCACTGCCCTCCATAAACTGATCGTAGCACTTCACAGTGTAGTCCAGGAACACCTACAACCAACAAAAGGATTACACACCTGACCAGGGGTACAGTGTCTTGAAAAAAGTCTTCACACCCCTTAAAATTTTCCACGTTTTGTCAGGTTACAGCCAGAACTATCAATGTACTTATTGGGATTGGATGTGATGGACCGACACAAAGTGACACATAATTGTGAAGTGAAAGGAAAATAAGAAATGTTTTTCAACATTTTTTACAAATATATATCTGAAAAGTGTGGCGTATTTGTATCCAGCCCCCTTTACTCTGATACCCCTAACATCTAGTGGAACCAATTGCCTTCAGAAGTCACCTAATCAGTAAATAGAGTCCCCCCTGTGTGTCATGTGATTCAGTATAAATCCAGCTGTTCTGTGAAGCCCTCAGAGGTTTGTTAAAGAACATTAGTGAACAAACAGCATCATGAAGGCCAAGGAACACACCAGACAGGTCAGGGATAAAGTTGTGGAGAAGTGTAAAGCAGGGTTAGGTTATAAAATAATATCTCGATCTTTGACCATCTCACGGAGCACTGTTTCAATCCATCATCTGAAAATGGAAGGAGTAACGGCACAACTGCCAACCTACCAAGACATGGCCGTCCACCTAAACTGACCGGCCGGGCAAGGAGAGCATTCATCAGAGAAGCAGCCAAGAGGCCCATGGAAACCCTGGAGGAGCTGCAGAGATCACAGCTCAGGGGGGAGAATCTGTCCTCAGGACAACTATTAGTCGTCACTCCACAAATCTGGCCTTTATGGAAGAGTGACAAGAAGAAAGCCATTGTTGGAGGAAATCCATAAGAAGTCCCGTTTGCAGGTTGTGAGAAGCCATGTGGGGGACACAGCAAACATGTGGAAGAAGGGGGCTCTGGTCAGAGGAGACCAAAATGGAACTTTTTGATCTAAAAGCAAAACACTATGTGTGGGGGAAAAACGAACACTGCACATCACCCTGAACACACCATCCCCACTGTGAAACATGGTGGTGGCAGCATCATGTGGTGGGGATGCTTTTCTTCAGCAGGGACAGGGAAGATGGATTGAAGATTGGATGGAGCCAAATACAGGGCAATCTTAGAAGAAAACCTGTTAGAGTGCAAAAGGCTTGAGCCTGGGGCGGAGGTTCCCCTTCCAGCAGGACAACGACCCGAAACATCCAGCCAGAGCTACAATGGAATGGTTCCGATCAAAGCATCTTCATGTGTTAGAATGACCCAGTCACAGTCCAGACCCAAATCCAATGGAGGATCTGTGGCCAGACCTGAAAATTGCTGTTCCCAGACGCTCTCCATCCAATCTGACAGAGCTTGAGCGATTCTGCAAAGAAGAACGGGCAGAAATGTCCCTCTAGATGTGCAAAGAGACATCCCCAAAAAGACTTGCAGCCAAAGGGGGTCCTACAAAGTATTGACTCCGGGGGGGCCGAATACAAATGCCGCCACACTTGTCACAGATTTATTACAAATGTTGTTACCCCTAAGTCTGCTAATGGGTGCCACTATTGGATGTGATGTCAATAGACTGAAGAGCTGTCAATCAAGTGTCCCTCCATAGAGTTCCCCTTTAACCCTGCCCTGGAGGGTACATTACTGGGACACACCCACTACATATGCCCCATTGTAGGGGGACAGAGCTAGGCATGCTGGCAGGTGTCGTTTTCAGCAATTCCTTACATCCAGGTAGCATGGGGCAGTGCTGGATAACCTATCTCTCCACAGCCTTCAGACTCCGGTAACAGAAACTGGGCAGAGGAGCTGGACCAGCACTGACAGTAAATGGACACTCCAAGGAGACTATGACGTGCAAGGATGGGGCTAGGCTATGCAATTGACGGGGATGCGGGACCCCCTCCGCGACCGGGGATACGAGGGGCGCGGGACCCCCTCCGCGAACGGGGATACGAGGGGGCCCCCTCGCGAACGGGGATACCCGGGGACCCCTCCGCGACCGGGGATACGTACGGGGGCGCGGGATACGAGGGGCGCGGGACCCCCTCCGCGACCGGGGATACGAGGGGCGGGGACCCCCCGCCGACCCGGGATACGACCGGGGATACGAGGGGCGCGGGACCCCCTCCGCGACCGGGGATACGAGGGGCGCGGGACCCCCCCTCCGGGGATACGAGGGGGCGCGGGACCCCTCCCCGGGATACGAGGGGCGCGGGACCCCTCCCCGACCGGGGATACGACCGGGATACGACCGGGGAGAGGGGCGCGGGACCCCTCCCCGACCGGGGGATACGAGGGGCGCGGGACCCCTCCCCGACCAGGGGGGATACGAGGGGCGCGGGACCCCTCCCCGACCAGGGATACGAGGGGCGCGGGACCCCTCCACGACCAGGGATACGAGGGGCGCGGGACCCCTCTACGATCAGAGATACGAGGGGCACGGGACCCCTCTACGATCAGGGATATGAGGGGCAGATGGACACATGACACCTCATACCTGGTTGAAATCAATTCCATTCTCGCTCTGCCTGTACCCAGCTGAGGCTCCTCGAACACATGATTTTCCTGCTGCCCAATCGCACCTACTGCACACACCTAGCTCAGCTGATAAAGACAATCGCGCCTAGCAAACAAGATTTAGCTCATGTGAGAATCATGAAATACAAATCGAATCATGTGATCAGCACACTTGCGCACCTAATGTAAGCCGGCCCTGCCCAACCGCACCTAGCTCATGTGAATGCGCCCAAAATCGCACCTAGCTCATGTGAATCCACCCAGCCGGCCCTGCCCAACCGCACCTAGCTCAAAATCCGCCCAGCCGGCCCTGCCCAACTGCGCCTAGCTCATGTGAATGCGCCCAGCCGGCCCTGCCCAATCGCACCTAGCTCATGTGAATCCGCCCAGCCGGCCCGCGCCTGCCCAACCGCACCTAGCTCATGTGAATCCGCCCAGTCGGCCCTGCCCAATCGCACCTAGCTCATGTGAATCCGCCCAGCCCAATCGCACCTAGCTCATGTGAATCCGCCCAGTCGGCCCTGCCCAATCGCACCTAGCTCATGTGAATCCGCCCAGTCGGCCCTGCCCAATCGCACCTAGCTCATGTGAATCCGCCCAGTCGGCCCTGCCCAATCAAACCTAGCTCAAGTGAATCCGCTCGTCACTGCCCTGCTTTCCCTGGAGCATGACAGCACTCGAGACACTCCCACTAAAATGCCTACTGTAGGGAGGAATAGCTAGGAATGCTGGGAGGGGAAGTTTTCAGCACCTCCAGGTAGCACGAGGAAGCGATGGATACCCCCCTCCCTCCACAGTCTTCATACTCGGGCAGAAGCATACAGTATGTAGTAGACACAGAGACCTTAGTTGTACTTTAAAGAGCACCTGTCATATTAAGAGCAAACGTTTGGCTAGAGCAGTCTCTCTCAACCCTTTCAACATAGAGGAACCCTTGAAATAACTTTCCCGTCTTGGGGAACCCCAGCTAAAAATGACTGAATCTACAACTCGTGGTGCATTAGTGCAGGGTTCTGTGGAACCTTGGAGTTACTTCAGTGGTTGCCGGGGGTTCCTTGAGCAATGAGAAATTTCTGACCCTCAGGTACATTTCTACTGATACCAAGGATCTTTTTAGCCATCTGTAAGGGGGTAATTCTTCCCAATGACACAAATGTTAGGAGCATTCTTCCCACTAACCATCACACTATTGTATCATGAGTTTTAGACTCGTGCAGGCCATAGACGGATCAAAAATTGGCCATTTTTTAAAATAAAAAAAACGAAAAATCGGTCGATCGGCCGACGTTGCCACCAATGGTAAAAAAAGGAAAAATCGGCCGATTTTCGTCCCGTCTACAGCCGGCATTTAATTACTTCTGTCCCTGCAGAGAGCTCCGCTATTATATTTTATATGAAAAGTCTTGCGGTTGCAACAATGTATCCGTTTTGGATACAGATGTTTTTATTCGGATACAAATGGATACATCGTTGCAACTGCAAGACTTTTCATATAAAATAGAATAGCGGACTGGAATTCTTTTTTTTCTTATTCTTCCTCTTCTTCTTGCAGGTCACGGCTCATGCGCAGATTTTTTATCGGTAAAACGATCGGCCGATTTGCCCATCATTGCTGGGAAAATTGGGCGATCGTCAAAATCGGCCGCAAATTTTTCAACTTGACCGATAAAAAAAATGTGCCAAAACCCTGAAAAACAGCCAACCAATTAACTCACTAACGGTGCAAAAATCGACCGATTTTTTTTTTCAGCTGATTTTCGACCCGTCTATGGCCTGCATTAGTCATTTTTAGCAGGGTTTCCCTGAGACCAGAACGTTATTTCAGGGGTTCTCAGTGCGCTGAGAGTTCTGTACAATATCAGTGCTTTGCAGAGAGGCTGAGCTGGATGCCGCTCCAGATTCTGGGGTGGATCCCCGATTTAAAGTCGGCATCTTTCCTCAGCCTGGACCTGGGTTGGTGACATCAGCTGACAGCGGAGAGCTGAGGACAGGTCACAGGAGCGCAGAATGAACTGTATGCCTGTGACCCCACGAGAAGTACAGCAAGGACAGTCACTTTGCTGGGAAGTACAGCAAGGACAGTCACTTTGCTGGGAAGTACAGCAAGGACAGTCACTTTGCTGGGAAGTACAGCAAGGACAGTCACTTTGCTGGGAAGTACAGCAAGGACAGTCACTTTGCTGGGAAGTACAGCAAGGACAGTCACTTTGCTGGGAAGTACAGCAAGGACAGTCACTTTGCTGGGAAGTACAGCAAGGACAGTCACTTTGCTGGGAAGTACAGCAAGGACAGTCACTTTGCTGGGAAGTACAGCAAGGACAGTCACTTTGCTGGGAAGTACAGCAAGGACAGTCACTTTGCTGGGAAGTACAGCAAGGACAGTCACTTTGCTGGGAAGTACAGCAAGGACAGTCACTTTGCTGGGAAGTACAGCAAGGACAGTCACTTTGCTGGGAAGTACAGCAAGGACAGTCACTTTGCTGGGAAGTACAGCAAGGACAGTCACTTTGCTGGGTATATGTAAGGGTTTAAAACAAACATTAAAATCTGCACCCGTAACATCCGTTACCTTGACGCAGTCTATTAGCCAGACCAACGCAGCCACGATCTGCGGCCAAGTGTGGGGGGCACCGACTGTGTACATGGAGCTTTTTGATAGAGGAAAAGGGTACCTGAGGAAGAGAAAACAAGAGGATGTCATTTACAAACACTGGCTGCTACATTGATGGGGAGGTGAGGTGTGGAGGAGCTAGGCCAGCACAGACAGTTTTAGACAATCTAGCAGTCATAAAAAAGGCCACTAGCACAGTATTGAGTGAGTTACAACATCAAAGCCAAAACTGCCACAACGATACAATGGAAGATAGCATTACAAGTGGACCCCCGCTGTATAAATATCAGTAGTCTTGAATCTGTCCATTTCTCACCAAACCGCAAAGCCTGCACCACCGTACTGTTACCGACTCCTAGTGGTAGTTTGTGGGATTAACATTTCAGCGTAGGGCAACATCTTCAGAAAACAAACCGCATTCGAGTCTCCTTCCTTCACATATCCCATAAATAACAGGTTTATTGCTCGTTTCACAACAGTGGGAGGAGCCATTGCCAATCACCACTTCATACCCTATATATACTTTATGTTGCGAATATTGTCCAATATAAAACCATTTATTCCGTATCTGCCACCCTCTCTGCCAATCCCTCCACTGGCCTCCATTCAGTGTCCTCCACCCCTCTCTGCCAATCCCTCCACTGGCCTCCATTCAGTGTCCTCCACCCATCTCTGCCAATCCCTCCACTGGTCTCCACTCAGTGTCCTCCACCCCTCTCTGCCGATCCCTCCACTGGCCTCCATTGAGTGTCCTCCACCCCTCTCTGCCAATCCCTCCACTGGCCTCCACCCCTGTCTGCTCCATCCCTCCACTGGTCTCAATCCCTCACTGTCCTCCACCCCTCTCTGCCGATCCCTCCACTGGCCTCCATTCAGTGTCCTCCACCCCTCTCTGCCAATCCCTCCAATGGCCTCCACCCCTCTCTGCCAATCCATCCACTGGCCTCCATTCAGTGTCCTCCATCCCTCTCTGCCAATCCCTCCACTGGCCTCCACCCCTCTCTGCCAATCCCTCCACTGGCCTCCATTCAGTGTCCTCCATCCCTCTCTGCCAATCCCTCCACTGGCTTCCCATTGCCCAAACGAATAAAGTTAAAAAAAATTAACAATAACATATAAAGCCATTTATAACTCTGCCCCAAATTACATCACCAATCTTGTCTCCAAATATCCCCCAAATTGTCCTCTTCGCTCCTCCCACGACCTCTCTAGCTCCCTTGTTTCCTCCTCCCATGCTCATCTCCAGGACTACATGTAAATAAAAAAATAAAATATATGCCATCCATCCCAAACAAAACCTATAAAGCTATCTGGATGATTACATTCAACAATAATCAAAAACAAATAGCTCTCCAGAGCTTCCCCATCCTCTGGAACTCTCTACCCCAATTTATCAGACTATCGCCTACTCTACTCACTTTTAGGTGGTCTCTTCAGGGAAGCCTATCCCACCTTCAGCTAATAATGGAATCCTCAATTCCTCCTACCAGTCCATCCGCCACAGTTATTACCTTTTGTACCACTAGCCCCTCCCTCTTAGATTGTAAGCTCCCAGGATCAGGGCCCTCCTATCCCTCTTGTATTGAACTGTATTGTTGCTGTATTGTCTCCCTTTATATTGTAAAGCGCTGAGCAAACTGTTGGCGCCATAAATCCTGTATAATAATAATAATATAAATCCTGTAATAATAATAATAATATAAATCCTGTATAATAATAATAATATAAATCCTGTATAATAATAATAATAATAATATAAATCCTGTATAATAATAATAATATAAATCCTGTATAAATAATAATATAAATCCTGTATAATATAATAATAATATAAATCCTGTATAATAATAATAATAATATAAATCCTGTATAATAATAATAATAATAATATAAATCCTGTATAATAATAATAATATAAATCCTGTATAATAATAATAATAATAATATAAATCCTGTATAATAATAATAATATAAATCCTGTATAATAATAATAATAATAATAATATAAAATCCTGTATAATAATAATATAAATCCTGTATAATAATAATAATAATATAAATCCTGTATAATAATAATAATATAAATCCTGTATAATAATAAAAATAATAATAATTCCAGACTGCAAAGAGCCGCTTTGGGTCATCATCAGTGCAGTATATGAAAATCATGGCTTCTTTGGAGTTAGGATTGAGACGCAACAAGACAGCGTGACCATAGTGGTGGGAAGAGACAAAAGCGATCAATGATCCTCCTAACTCGATCAGTGCAGAGAATGAAGTGAAGCTAAAGAACAGAAGGTATTCCCAAGTCTCACTCTAAAATTGGGAGTATTATTCCTCATTTTAGGACAGTGGGCGGAGCTCAGGACTGAAGAAGGCCCGTCACGTCGGAGGAGACGCTCACCCCAGGTCTTTGAATACGCGGGGGATCTCCTCCTCAAACTTGGAGCCCGGGATTTCGTAGTTCGGGCAGATGAAGCTGTAAATGAAGGCGAATATCTTCAAAAAATCCTTGGTTGAAGGACCTTGTAGTGATTTCACCGTGAGGGTCTGGGAGTAGCCATTCTCATTCAGAAACTGCAAGAAGAAGCAGAGAGGACTCTGAGTGAAACAGACACATTGGTTTGTTTTATTTTATTTAAAAGCAATGTTCCAGTGAAAATAAAGTTATTAAAAAAAAAAAAAAGTCAGCAGCTACAACTGTAGCTGCTGACTTTAAGCCCGGGTCCACATATGTACGGTATACCCAGGGGCGGACTGACAACTCCTGGGGCCCCCGAGCAATAGGGGATCATGGAGCCCCTGTGTCCTTGCCCAAACTCAAAAAAGCCTATGAAAAAAGGTACCAGGGGCATCTCATGGGGTCCCCAACTGACCCCGGGCCCTCGGGCAGTGCACGAGTTTCCAAATGGTCGGTCCGCCCCTGGGTATACCACATGTGATTCGCACAGGAACCGCACCACATTCCTGTGCGAATCACATGTGATTTGTGTGCGGTGCGATCGGAGTCGTACATTTTGTATGGCTCTAATCGCACCTCACCAAAAACATGCAGGAATCGGATCACATGGGTATTCACACCTGTGCGATCCGATTCTGTACAACGCTCCGCGTTTTGAGGACTGATTTTGGGGTGTTGTTAACTTGACATACACACCAACAACAGTTCGCATGAACGGGGTGCGATTCTGATGCAGTGCGGAATTCGCACTGAAAGCGCTGTCGGGCTTTCCAATGTTAATATAGCTTCAGTCACTCCTCAATGAACCTGTACTTTTTTTTTTTTACCCTAAACCCCCTACAGCCCATTTCATTGGCCACCCTGTGTTCCCGAACCGGCATTAGTGTGGGCACTCGGCTTTGACAGCTTATGGCTGCGCTTTGTGATTGGTCCCATAGCCTTCTGGGACCTATCATGTGTCCCAGAAGACTATGGGGGGGGGGGGGGGGCAACAACTTCCATTTCCGATTGCCTAGGTGATCACAGGAGAAGTAGGAGCGTTTACCTGTCAATTTCGGGTACCCGCTCCCCGCCCGGTTCCTCAAGGGTGCCAATCCTTAACGGGGAGCAGGGTACCAGTCCGTAAAGCGGAACTTGTGGGTGGAGCTCCGCTTTAAAGTTTAATCTGCTTTGATTGTGCCTTCCCTGGTTCCTAAATACACCCCCCCCCCCCCCCCCTCCACAAGGGTGCCAATCCTTAACAGGGAGCGCAGGGAACCAGTCTTTAAAGCAGAACTGTTGGGTGGAGCTCCGCTTTAAAGTTTAATCCGCTTACATTGTGCCTTCCCTGGTTCCTAAATAACCCGTTTTCATCACATACTTTACTGTAGACCCAGTGATTTCATCACTTGGTCTCAGGGCTTCTCTATGCAATGCAGGCAGATCATGGCTGGCGGGGTGCTGTACATAGCTTCCTGAAACCATCACAGCGCTTTGCCTCCTTTCAAAATCCTTTAGCTCTGATGCAAGCAGTGGGCTGGCTCTTGGGAGGAAAATGCCCTATTTACCTACCTAAAGCTGCAATCGCATTATGCCCCCGTCCCAAGTCTTCTCTTGTTTATGGGAGGCGGGGTCTTATTTTTTATGTGTCCACATCACTATCTGCATGACATAGACAACACTTCCTATTGGTTGACCAGTGGTGGGGTCCTCCTAGGATCCAGAAGAGGAGTGCAAGGGAACTAATGTCCCCACAGTACCCCCCAATGTCACCTCTGCATTCTGTTGAAGCTAATCAAGCACACACTATGCTCAGTCAGCTTCTTTTCCAATCAGAACAGCCAGCATTGGACGGCTATGAACCCAAAAGTGCTGAGACGAGTGCTTCTGTGTTCATACTACCCAAGGGAGGACAGAAAACGGATCTCCTGCTACCCTCCATCCCAACATCCGTCATGGAGGTCCAGGACTACATACAGCTGTGGCGGTACAAGAGTTAAAGTCAGGGCTATATGATCCCATCAAAAAAATATTGTCCCCCCAGATAACTCATCACTTCACCCAGCAAATTGTTGCAATTACAAATGTTTCAGCATTCTCATGTTTATGTCTTGTTTGTATTGGTTCTGCTCTCTCCTGCAGTGCGCTGTATGATGTATGGATTTGGAGACGATCAGAACCCGTATACAGAATCTGTGGGATATTCTGGAGGATCTGGTGATAGAATTCATCACTGAAATGGTTGGTATGAATCATGTATAATATTGTCCACATTGTTCGTATATCAGAAATCTTTACATCAAACCCTAGTTTATTTTATTTTTGTACTTTAGTTTGGTCTTCTGATAAGTTTTTAAAATACACATACAGTCACGGCCATAAATCTTGCCCCCCCGCATTTCTGTCAGAGGATGCAGCACTTCGACCAGAAAATCGCTGCAGTTACATCTTTTACATCTACATTTATATCTATGGTTTGTATTGGTGACACAAAAAAGTGGAGAAACAACAAGCCAAATCTGACACATTCCATGCAAAACCCAAAAAAATGGGGACCGGACAAAATTATTGGCACCCTCCAATGTAATATTTGGTGGCACACCCCTTTGGAAAAATTAACTGACATCAACGGCTTCCTCTCACCATCAATGAGATTCTTCCACCTCTCTGCTGGAATTTTGGATCGCTCTTCTTCCTCCAACTGCTCCGGGTCTCTCAGATTGGAAGGTTCCTTTTCCCAACTGCTGTTCTGAGATCTCTCCACAGGAGCTCTATGGGATGGAGATCTGGACTCATTGCTGGCCAGTTCAGTCCTCTCCAGCGCTTTGTCTGAAACCATTTCTGGGGGCTTTTTGACGTGTGCTTTGGGTCATTGTCCTGCTGGAAGACCCATGACCTCTGATGGAGACCCAACTTTCTGACACCAGCCCCTACATTGCACCCCAGAATTATTTGGTAGTCTTCAGATTTCATAATGCATGCACACGGCCAAGACATCCAGTGCCTGAAGGAGCAAAGCCACACCCAAAACATCAGGTGGGGGACAAGATTTTTGGCCATGGCCGGCTGACAACATTGTACTGTACATTCTACACTCGGGCTCAATTCAACATCAAGACACACATATTATATATATAATACAACACACATATATAAATATAATACAATAAAAAACAAATATATAAATACACAATAAACACAAAACAAATAAAAAAAATATACAAACACACAAAACACACAATATATACAGTCATGGCCGAAAATTGTTGGCACCCTTAACTATTTCTCCAGGAAATCAAATTTCTCACCAACTATAAACGTATTGCAAAATATAACACATGTTTTGCCATACAATGTTTATTCCCTAAAACTGTATTTGGAATAAAACAAAAAAAAGGATAAGAAAGCAAATTCGACATAATGTCACACCAAATCCAAAAATGGGCAATGGACAAAAGTATTGGCACCACTTTCAAAAACAAAACTGCATAAATAAGAATGTTAAAGCATGTGAAATGCTCCTGTAACTCACCTGGGGCAAGTAAAACAGGTGTGGGCAATATAGAAATCACACCTGAAAGCAGATAAAAAGGAGAGACGTTCACTTAACCTTTGCATTGTGTGTCTGTCTGTGCCACACTAAATGGAAAACAGAAAGAGGAGACGAGAAACTGTTGAGGACCTGAGAACCAAAATTGTGGCAAAAATTATCAACAATCTCAAGGTTACAAGTCCACAATCCAGAGAACTAGATTTGCCTTTGTCCACAGTGCGCAACATTATCAAGAAGTTTGCAACCCATGGCAAATGTAGCTAATCTCCCTGGTCGTGGACGGTATGAGGAAAATTGATGAAAACAATTGCAACGCAGAATAGTCCGGATGGTGGATAAGCAGCCCCAAACATGTTCCAAAGACATTCAAGCTGTCCTGCAGGCTCAGGGAGCATCAGTGTCAGCAAACACTATCCGTCGAAAAACATTTAAAAATGAAATGAAACGCTATGGCAGGAGACCCAGGAACCCCACTGCTGACACAGAGACATAAAAAAAAAACTACAGTTTGCCAAAATGTACTTGAGTAAGCCAAAAGCCTTCTGGGAAAACAAAAAATGGACAGATGAGACCAAGATAGAGCTTTTTCGGTAAAGCACATCATTCTACTGTTTACCGAAAACGGAATGAGGCCTACAAAGAACAAAACACAGTACCTAACGGTAAAATATGGTGGAGGTTCAATGATGTTTTGGGGTTGTTTTGCTGCCTCTGGCACTGGGTGCCTTGACTGTGTGCAAACATCATGAAATCTGAGGATTACCAAGGATTTTGGGTCGCACTGTAGGGCCCAGTGTCAGAAAGCTGGGTTTGCGTCCAAGATCCTGGGTCTTCAGCAGGACAATGACCCCAAACATAAAATCAAAAAGCACTCAGAAATGGATGGCAAAGAAGCGCTGGAGAGTTCTGAAGTGGCCTAGCAATGAGCCCAGATCTAATCCCATTGAACACCTGTGGAGAGATCTTAAAATTGCTGTTGGGAAAAAGGTGTCCTTCAATAAGAGAGACCTGGAGCTGTTTGCAAAGGAAGAGTGGTCCAAAATTCCGGGTGAGAGGTGTCAGAAAAATTGATGGTTATAGGAAGCGACTGATTTCAGTTATGTTTTCCAAAGGGTGTGCAACCAAATAACATATAAGTTAAGGGTGCAATACTTTTGTCCAAAAAAAAGAAACATTTTTGGGGTTTTTGTGTGACATTATGTCTATTTGCTTTTCTGCCTTCTGTTTTATATAACACATACACACACAATACATTACAAATACACACACAAATATATACACAAACAAACAAAACACACAACAAATATACACCAAACACCACACAACACACACCCAAATAACATACACACACACATATATAATATAACACACAACATATATAAAATTATATATATACAACATATAACACACACACACACACATAATATTATATTACACACACACATATTTAATATACCAAACTCACAAAACACACACATATATATAAAAGAAGCAAATTAAAGTGGACTTGAAGTTACATACATACATAGTTACATACATAGTTAGTCTGGCTGAAAAAAAAAAAAAAAAAAAAAAAAAAAAAAAAGACAAAAGTCCATCCAGTTCAACCATTAAAAA